ATATATACACATATATATATTCGGAAAGGATCACGAATTTCCAACTAAACTAACTAACTAACTAATCTACTGATCACTTCATATTCGACTTGAGGAGCTCAAATTAATGGTGGTGTGTAATTTTCTAAGATTTACTTAAGTACAGGTAACTGAGTAAATGTAACTAGTTACAACCCATCACTTCTCATATGGCCAATGGGTTTAAGACATGTTAGTTTGGGAAAGAGATGTCATTTGCAAAGTGATGCAACTGTAAATAAATTATTTGGATCTACAGTACACAATGTCTTTCTATATAGCTTTGCTGGTCTGAGAGGTGCTTACACCGACTAAACTTTTGACATATTAAAAGAGGCAAGTTCAGTCAAGAGAGTTTCCATCATAGAACACTTTTTTTTTTAAAAGAATACTTTCTTTAGCAAAAAAGTAAAAGTGCAGACATGCATTTGTTTCTACCTAAGGTTTCTTTGCCGTGCACCTTTATCTGTGTGAAGTACAGCATGACCTCTTTTTTTCCCTTAATGTTCAAAAGTACCCAGTTATTTTATGCTCCTGTCATAAATCTTCCCATTGGATTTAATATAGAAAAGAAGTTTGAGGACAAAGTAAATATTTCAAAGCAGAATAAAACTTAAATAAGCATTAAAATACGCTACCAGTAACCTGCTTATTCCCAACGCAGTCCGGAAGGATTAATGCAAAGAGTCGTTCACTTAAAGCAAGTAAACAGAACATGACAGGTTAAAACATGGCTGTTGTCTCTTAAGTTTATCTCAGGGATTATGCTGGAGAAAAAGCTCGGACAAAGGGATCTGGCACATGTATCCTTGTGTGGTCTAAAGCAGTAAAGAGATATTGGCTGCACACAAGGAGCAAATATGAATATAGAGAAAACAAATGAGGAAACAAATAACCAAATCTAATTGTTACTTTAATATTTATAACATAACTTTTTATTGATTCTTTAATTATTCGTTTTAGGAATGATTTAGCAAGATCTCCTTGATGGTATGACAATTCATGATTGTGTAAATCACTGTTTCTTCAATGTTTTATGAAGAACTCTTAAATACAGTATATGACTGTGCAGCCACTCGTTTTTAATGCTGCCCTGGGCAACGGCCCATATAGCCTATATCACACCTGTTGACGAGCTAAGGCCTATTATTTTTGAACAAACCTTTTTATAGCCTTCTTTGATCAACTTATTGATTACACCAGCTTAATTTTTTTAGTAAAGTAAAACAATATTGGTAAAGAGAGAGCCAATAGTCTATTTCATTTAAGTATGCTGAATTAATCCATGACATTAAAGGTTGTCGGTTCAATCTGAGAGGATTTACCACTCCAACCCCTCATAAATCAAAAATTTAATTATAAAGATGGTAGAGGTTTGGTTCCTCTAGCAAAACACAAAAGCACTGTCTTGATTTTATCCATGGTTTTCAGCTGTAAGCTATGGTCTGTATCAGAATCTCAATCCAAAACCTATTTGTGAAAAGAAATCTTGGAAAAAGAAAATTCAATCTTAACCAAAATGTATTCAGTTAAAACAAGAAAGATTTGTATAGCATAACAAAACTACATAAACCTCCAGGAATATAAATTAGACGTAATATCAACGTTCAGACTTTGCATGCAAATCAACAAGGGAATTGCTCTCCACAATTGCCTTGCAGCACATGTTGATACTGTTTATTTTCATTGTTTTGCCTGTGTAAATGTGTGTGCAGTGCTGTAGAATTTGATCATCTTTATAGCTGTAATAATAAAACAGCACATGTACCAGATGTTCCTAAGCTTTAACATAAATCCAATATAAAACCTCCCAAATGATACCAAAAGCCTTGAAAACTGTTAAGCAGAAATAGATAATTGCAAATCAAGACACGGGTAAAAGATTTTCAATCACGCTTTCACAGCGCACCGTCACTCTTTGTCAATTAGGCATATGGTTTACAATGGTTTTAGTTATCCACATGTAGGAACCCACAATTTCTTCATACAGTGTCCTGGTGTTTAGCAATATTGTACCTACCTCAGGAATTGCAGAGTAGTGTATGCAGAATCCTGGCTCTGAGGAGAAGTATTCATCTGAGATGAACCGTACAATGATTTGGTTGCCTCTAGATTTTTGACTTATTGGTGCAGACTGTGACCCACACCAACGACCTTGGATCGTTTTCTCGGTGGGATCCTCTATTTCCACATAGTCATACCTAGGAAACAGGAAAAAGGCAGACAGGTAATAGATGAAACAACCTTGTTCTTAACCGGGCACAGTGAGTCCTGACAAAATATAAGATTTAGAAATGTACATGGTAAGTACTTGGAAGTACCATTTACTTCTTCATAAAGTTAGTATTGAGTTTGAGGATAATTTCATGAAAGAACCTGGAATTTTCTGGAAAATAGCTAGTACTTTCCATTAAAGTTCAGTGAAAATATCTGGTAAAATCTGGATATACATGCTTATTATTCTCTGTGGCAATAGCTGGTAAATTGAAGCTGTCTAAAATGTCCTTGAAAGATTCAGCTTGAGGAAAGTATATAGTAAGCCCGAGAAAGCAGATCAGTTCTGAAAGTTTATGTCAAACTTTTGGTGAGTTCCAACAAAGTCTAAGAAATTACCTGGAAATTTTTGTAAAAGATAAGTAAACTAACCTCCAACTTCAAGGAGAAACTTGTTCTGTTTTATAGATATTACCACTGACAAGGATTTTCTTTGAAGGGGTCATAGAATAATTATATAGGGTATTTGGTACTGGACCTTAAGGTGTCTGATAACCTTGTGTAACATTGGTTGGGCTGAAAAAGGCATATTTGCTGTTCTATGCACCCTAACGCAAGCCCAATTAAAAGCCCTAGAATGTTTCTTCCTTTTATGGTATGCTCATGAATATTTAGATGAGCTGTGCTCTGATTGGTTGGTTTACAACGAGCGAAGGTGCTCAGCCATCACCAGCTTAGCAACAGAATCATACAACAGCTTGCTGTTGTAAAGGCCTTACGGATGGAACAGCCCCTTGTTTCGGTAAAAGAAGTTTAGCAAATACTGCTTTGAACTGTTCAAGATTTTGAAAGCCGTCTTTGGTAAAATGCTTAGAGCAAATGAACAGCTGAGCATCAAACTTTGCAGGGATCTTCTGATAGACAGAAGTAATCCATGCCTGTCGAGTATTAAGATCCTTGGGAAGACTGTGAAAATTTTCCCCTTTCTCCGTGTAGCCTGGAACACGGCATTTACACCCTTGGGTATGGCTCATTTTCCAAAGAGAAACAACCTGCTTTGTAATTCTTGTAGAATTAAACCCAACTGTAGGCTAAAGAGCTAAACTAGTGTCTTCCATCTTTGCAACCTCAATTCATGTTCTTGGGCCAGTGAACGAGTGCGCTGGTCTGTATGTCAATTTTGGGGCGTGACAAAAGTACAGACCAGAACCAAATAAGGCACCATCCCCAAGTTTACGTCAACTCGAGGCTTCGTTTGGATTCGCCTGTTTTATGGTGGAAGTTTGGAATTGTGAGATTTGCATAGAAAGGAGGTGTCCATGGGGTTTGAACTTTTCTGCACGTCCATTTCACCCACTGAATTATCGTTATTCATCTATGACAATGTAAACTCAGTTTTGCATTCTATGACCCCTTTAAACTCGCTAATTTGATAAAGTGTTTCAAATTCTCATTTCAAAAATGTAGATTTAGTAAATTCTAGTCTATTTAACATATACAGTAAAATTATGTGACAGCATCTAAGATTTGCTATAAAACTGTGTATTAGTTTTATTATGTTTTGGTACTTTTCAATAACTTCTAGGTGTCAGATGGAGAACTTATACAAGCAGAAAAAAATGTCTCTTTGAAAAAAAAAGACAACAACGCCATAATACCCTTTGGGGTAATTAGTTAAAACTTAAATGAAATAACTAAGAAAATAACTAAGCACTAATAATAATTTCAGCTAAGGGTCGGAGGAAAAATACAAAAGCATTATTCCCTTTATGGCTTCATAATACTACATCTACCTATATTTGTTCAGGATGGCATCACTTCAGACCAACCTGTTAAACTTCTAAACCTATTACACGTGTATATATAAAATGAAATAGCTCTTAACCACAGCACAGGTTTTTCTGTTGTGTCTTTGCCAATACAGACAAACAAATGACTTCAACACTTCAAAAATGCAGTTTAGTAGTTCAGCATTTTATAGCGCATATATGTGTGTAGGTGGCACTGCCTTCACTGCAGCCTTATCTGACTCCTAACAGTCTGGGATTAATCACTTTGCCGTTTGCGTCAACAGACGCGCTAACCTCTCATTTACTGCTGCCAATTCGGATATTTGGATTTCAGGGACATTGTTTACATTTTCCACCAGCTTGACTGCTCAGTTTAAAATGGTTTCAACAAAGCAACTTGGGCTGACATGAGCAAAGCTAGAAAATGAGTTTTCTCTTAAGGTAAATAAACTTGCGGGTGCAGGGGTTCAGTTTTATGTTCGGGATGGGTGGATGTTTAAATGTACTGCCAAACTGTTGTCTACATAAACAAACATATTGACAAAAGTCTTTTGCAAAACTAATATTTTCACACCATCTGACATCCATCTACTAAAGTTCTAACTTATTTTTGTTTTATGCATTTTAAGTTGCTGAAAGAGCTTTCTTTCTAAAACTTCACTAAATTCCCTGACAGATGGCTCATCAATTATGCAGAATTGCCTGATCATTACACATCGCCATGTGTGCAGCCTCACCATGTTAAACAGTGATTTCTGAAAATCACCGTTTCACTAACAAAGTGTCTGTTGTATCCCAAACTTTATGAACTGTCGTTAAAAAAAATCTCTTAAATGAAATATTTACCAGAAAAAAGTTGCATTGTGCACAGAGGTGCACAGGAAACTGTGTTTAATATTCCAAAAGCTTTCTCCCACACCATTTTCACCCTATCAATTATTAATAGATAAAATATCTGCCACTGTGATGACGCAGATTATCAGAACAAACACGTTTTTTTTTTAAGGTAGAGGGCACACATGCATTTCTGAAAACAATCTCTGTCTGGGAGCTGCCAACTACGACTCTGCTGCCATGCCAACCAGCAGTAAAAGCAATCCCTCTTCAATATGCCTCTTCTCCAGTGGATTTGGTAAGAATGCCTTTCATCTTGCCACAGACAAACAGAATAGCAGATGAGCATCTCGACTATACAGCCCCTCTCTCACATCTTAGAAGAGAGATCTTGCTCCAGGCTTGCAACCACAGCTGAACATGTCTCCCACTGCTTGTTTGCTTTAGCCCCTGTCATTTCTGTGGATCACTGCATAGGGCACGGCACACTTGTTTATTTGAATCACATCGAGTTGCGAACAAAGGTAAATGCCTGGTATCAATAGCATTGTCTTAGGGTTTTTTTTTAAAGTTGTTTAGGTGTTTTCTTTTTTATCTTTTTTCTTCTTTTCTTTTTTTTTTTTTTGGCACTGAAAGCTGTGAAAGGTTTACCCAAGGGGAATATTTTGAATACATTTTTAAACACAGATATAACAGAGAAGCAGAAGAAGAAAAAAAGACCATGGGGATATATTTTTCATTGCGTCTAGTTGGAGTAAGAATGAAGGGTGTTTGAAAGGAAAAATATTGTGAAAGACACAATGAGACATGCTTGTAAATGTTCTGGGATCAGCTTAAAACTTGTTTGGCTGACGGCAAAGGAGGAAAAAAAGGAGGTTTACTTCCTTTGGCCCTGAAAAAAAGGATGTTGTTATTGTCTCTCCCTACAGTCTTTAAGGTCTCTGACAAGTGATGGCTGGTAAAGTTGGGACAGGACTAAAGCTGTGTATCCTAAACCATGGAGCAACTTTCACTCAGTGTTTTCACAGCAATGCTGACATCTTGTATAAACAGACACCCATAACTACACAGGTGTGCTGATGGTGTTATATGCCCCCCCCCCCCATTTGGTCTTTTAATCAGCAACAAATAAACACATATGCCTACAACAAAGGCTATATTAGAGGCAATAAATATACAGGGTTGAGACCAGAGCAAGAACAAACAGGATCACCTTATTGATCGCATTAACAATTATTCTAACAGCCATATTTAGAAAACATGCCCATTCATAGCTTCATGAGGTCAATTTCTCAATGATTTTTTTTATTGCAGAGCCTAAAAGCATTAAGGGAAACAGTAGTTCCATTCATCATCCATTAGAGGGCTCTCCAGGTATTTCAGATGAGGTCTCCATCCCCCCTTTCTTCTCCAACTTCTCCTAACAGGCCTCTGCTATGACAACCAGTAAGTTCTGATTTATTGACATCATGGCACAAAGCATTATGCACACTGGTTAAATTGACACAGGGAATTGGGAAGTCCATTTAAATTGAATGACAGAGGCAAAGCCGAGCAGTAATTGAAAGTGAGCTTGTCCATAAAACAGCTAATATACAGCATATGCAGCTGAGTATTTGTGTTTAAATGTTTACTTTCAGACAGCATACCGTACAACTGGAACTATTTAGTAAGCATCTAAAATTATTGACCTGATTATGTAAAATATGATGGTTTGCACAATGACATTGGGTGTCTCTACCTAAACGAATCGCTCTGCTGCGGGGGGTTTCAATATTCAGGAGCCGGCGTGGCAGGCCAAAGGCAATTTCACAAATGGCCACACTCTTTAAATCTTTAAAGATGGAGGGCAGTCCAGATGGGACACACGTCTTGTTTTCATCAGATGACATGTATCTAACATGTCTTTGGGGAAGGTCCATATGTAGCTGAGCAAGGTGAAAAAATGTGTAAATTATGAGCAGAAGTGAATGTGATCATTTATATTAAATATAAATGGTGGTAGAAAATGAAGTTAAGGTTTGAAATTTGCCCTCAGAAGTAACATAATTGCCTTTTTTCTGTGATAAAAATCTAAGTAAAAATAATTTTGAATCCCTAATTCAATGTCTCAGATAACTGCATGCCTGCTCTGTCTGTTTTCAAATGACGATGTTGAGTAATTTCCCATCTAATGTCTTACTTGCATATTCCATCTTCAGGATCCTCCAGACCAAATCTCTCATCAAATGTGAGCTGGATCCTCATGCTGTTGGCTGCCACCAGTCTCCAGACCAACATGCTGTTCCTTGGATAGGTGTGTGGGAAGTCTGGGCTGTGGATCATTCCCTCTCCAGACACAGTTATGACCTTTTCCTGAATGGATTCTTGCACTCCTGAAATAAAAAAAACATTTCCTTTATTTTCATTTTTGATAATTCTGTTGAGAGTGGCAGATCAGGAAAAATAACAAAAAACCTCAGTGTCATGATACGTGGCTGGTTTGCACTCAGCTTCCACCATGCACAGACTCTTGGTGTTAACAACCAATAAACATTTTCAGACCACATTACGGACACAAAAATCCATTCCATTTTCTTCTGCCAGGACGTGGAGGCAGCAGTCAAAGCAGAGATGCCCAGACTTTGCTATAAACACACATCTCCTCCAGGTATTCTGGGGGGACCCAGATTTTTTGGGGACCCAAAAATCAATGTATTATATTGGTAATGTCTTAAAGCACAAACCTATGAACAGGATGAAAAGGATGCATGATTTTCCAAATAATTTACAAATAAAAATAGCATCTATATGAATACAGCCCCATTACTCTGATACCACTCAGTAAAAGTGTATCCATTTGCTTTCAGAAGTCACCTTATTTTAACATTAAAAACTCAGTTTATAATCTATTACAAAAAAGAAATACAGAAGCCATGGTGACTCTGAGGTTTAATAACATAACATTACTGATCAAAGTCCACTATAAGGAACAAGCAAAATGTTGTGGAGAAGTTTAAAGTTTGGATAAGTTATAAAATATTACTTAATAGCAAAAACTCACTCTAAAAATAAACAGACACAAGGGCAAACATCCTGACATGGCTGACAGGAAGGTCATTTTATCTCTGGAGGTGCTGCTGGGATTCATTGCTCAGCTATGATATCTGTTAACAAAACAACCCTCTGAGATGATATAATAATACATTTTATTTTAAACGCCTTTAAAAACAAGATATATATTTATATAGACAGTATATATAGCCTCAGGCAGCTCAGAACCTAAATAAACACTAAGTTGCATAGTTTAATTATTAGCTGTTTTCATGTATATGCATTATTACAAAAACCACCAGCTACATAAATGAAACATGAAATTATGAGGGGTCTCAAAAAGCATATGATATAATCTGACTAGTAGCAGTTGGCTTTTAATTAGAAAGAGGAAGTTTGTCACTCAGTATGTCAAAATTTCTCGAAAAATAAAAGTTTGGACATTTCCTCCTGAGTGACAACAACGGTAGACTATCCCTTTTGCAATAGTATAGCACTTTGTTTATTGCCTTTCAGCCGTTGTTGCAAGAAATCACTGTAAAACAATGAACGTACAAGTTTTATTGAAGCATCTCGAGAAAAGCACAGAGGTGCTGTCTCTGGTTGACTGTCTGTTTGTTATCCCAGTCAATGGATTAGTAACCTGTCCACATAGCATCCAGCCTCTCGCCCAATCAATATACATTTGAGTCACTTAAAGGATATGTTTATGTGTCTTTCTGATGTTAAAACGTGGATCTTAGTCCTCTATGTTGGGAAAAAGTGAAGGACATGAATTTCTAATTAAAGGTTCAGAGACAAAAAGACTTTGAAAGAGGTAGGACATTTATTAAAGATATTTGGTTACACCTGTTTATAAGAAATAGCAGCATGATGAAGTTAGTTGGAAACTTTGAACACACCTCCCTAAGGGGTGCCTATGAATGCAAATGGTGCTGTACTTCTCTCATTAATAATACCTATTCCACAGCATATGTGTACTTACTGTGTGAAAACACATCTGAACTATTTTGTTAGGAGTAGTTTTAGTGATTTTAAGATGTTTTTTTTTTAATTTAATAAAGCAGTTATTACAAAAAATAAGATAAGATAACAATTCAAACAGCCTTTTTTTTTTTACTTATAAGAGAAATCTGGTCAGTAAGTGATACATTTCCATTTAAATTACTATTTTTCTTTCACTGGACCTTCTCCCAAAGTACTTTTATTTTAAGGGACTCAAACCGTCAGATAACTTCATTGCATAAGCGTTGTTTTCATTCATATAATTGCTTATTGTGATATTAAAAGTAGTAAACTTTGTTGTTTAGGTTTTCTTTATGATAACTCCTTGTTAATTTGTTTTGTATCTCTGATGAATGTTTTGTATTCTCCCAGCAGTCTGGTACATTATGGTCACAAGAACTAAGAGGTGTTAATGGGTACTAATGAGAGAGTGTGCTCCTGGAACATTTGACAGCATATTAATTTGGTGAGTAAACCTTTCCAACTGTTCAATAAATACATGTTTTTCCTCAAGATGCATATTGAGACTAGCCTCTCTTTAATTTCATATACACTTGATGAAGTTGCATGAGAAAGGATTAAAAAACGAGGCAGTTAAAGTTTGCACTAGCGTTTCTACGGCTTATTGCAAAAAAACAAATCTTTCCAAGCAGCACCGTTTTAATGGATGATAAGTATGGGAGAAAACCTTTTTAGATCCAATAATGGTTACTTGCACTTAAAAATAACTCAAACATATGCAAAACGAAGCAATATTTTATTCTGGATTTCTTAGACTCAATATGGTGAATGATGAATGTGAAAATGCAATTTTAAGCTGCAAGAAAACAAGAGTACTTTTTTTTTGCATTACAATTTCTCTTAGTTGCATGTTCAAATTCACACATTTCAGCCAATATCAGTCACTCAGTCACTGAGCAACCTCTTCAAAACGACTAATTGCTGCTCCCTGTGTGATGACTGATACGTTTTTGCTTTCTGCATTGGCCTCTCTCCTTTAAAGCACATCTTCTCCCAATCCGAACATAGAGACTAGAGCATAAAGGGGGAAAAAAAACTTTCAAATGTGAGGCATTCATTGTTACTGTATCTTATCAAGCTACATGAATATTTGATTCACATAGGTAAAATATACTGTTCCTTTCAACATTGCTTCTCTATAAGCCTTAGTAAAAGCTAACTATTTTGGCATAAAAGTATTAGTTTTATTATTTTAGTAACTAAATTGAAAATTGTTTATTAACTTAGAATTTTTTCTCACACCTGATTGATCCACAAGTAAAAGTTCAAAGTCCTTTGCACCATCCCAGAACACAGCCAATGGTGAAAAACAGAAGAATTAAATATCAGGCAGTAGTTAATTTAAAGCGGCTCTAAGTGTTCAGCATGTCGAGGTGAGAAACTTCTATGACAATAAATGGTCCTTAAAGGATTAGTTTAAAGCCTTCTTTACTTTCATTTGATTGCAATAGTGGATATTTGTTAGAATTCCATTTTGTGTGGGTTGTTTTTTGTGTTTTCCTCTCTCTACCACCAGATGGTGCCCTTTCCTCATTGGGCCTCCTGCACACCTGCGGCTCATTGGGTCATTACCAGAGGAGTACTTGAGCAGCAGGCTGTCACCACCTCGACACCAGAGTGTTTACCAGTATTGGGTACTCTAGCCAAACAGATTAGCAGAGTTTAACCTTAGCATTGTTTCTCTGAGTCTGAACTTGTTTTTTGTTTTGGTTCTTCGGCAGGGAGACTGTTTTACTGGATAAGCCTGGACCTTCTACCCCCTGGAAGGATTTACCGAGTCTCAGTGAGCAAGGGGAAAACCTCCACATGATCCGTTCAAGTCCACTCCTGGAAGACCAAGTGACAGTCTGCTCCTTTACTCCTCTGGGAGTATGTCTGCCTGTCCGCTCTCCAACGAGTTCCCTCTTTTCTGGATTAAACCCCCCACAAACTGGATCCAAGGATAAACCAAGAGCCCCCCAAAAGTGAGCAACTCTCCAGCAACATTCAAGCCTCAGTCTATTTTCCCACTGTCCCTGAACTGATCACTGTGATCACCCCTCCAGAGTTTCCGGTTCCGGTTCACCAGTCCACTGAGTTCCAGCATTGTTTCCCCATAGTGTTTGCTAACCTACAATAAACCTGTTTAACTTTTACCCTTAGTCTCTGAGTGGTTCTCTGCATGTGGGTCAGATCTTTAAAGGCCATTATGACTATATTTGTAGTATTCATGGTATCACTGCCACATATATTCACTTTCCGTATCATCTGGGTCTAAAATTCAATACTCTACACACACAAGTTCTACTAAGAGTAGTAATGAGCCAAAATAAACTGAAAGTATATCACAGTGGATCAACTGAAGCTTCTCTAAGAATTTGCATGTCAAGGTGAGATAAAGAATCTACATATTATACGATAGATTATTACATTTTGGAAAGCTAATCCAATGCCAGCAGAAGGTTAAAAGTTTAGGGGGTTAATTCTTGCAAGTTTATTTGCAAGTTTATTTTGCTTAGTGGCAAAAATAAAAATTTTATTAGGTGACAGAAGCTGAAAAGCACCATATCTCAGATTTTTATGATACTTGATTAGGTTCTATAGGATAAATATGTAAAAGAAAACAACTTTTAGAGAAGACTGTGTATATCACCACCTTAACATATGGTAGCTTGTATTGGCCCTGTGCTTGGCTCCACTTGCTCGTTTTTTAAAAGACAAGACCAACTGTTTTCCCAGTTACATTAATGCTATTCTTTTTTTTTTTTTTTGTCCATAACAGCTGATGTGTTTATAGCTGTAAATCTTTTTAAAATGTTACATTTATCTTTATAAAATTTATCAATGTTGCAGCCCTGTACTGTAAAGGGTCAGTGTGCAGAAATGGGTGGGGGAGGGGCATAAGAAGAACCAGGGGAAACTCTGGTAGCTCAGGCCCTTTGCGTCCCAAATCATTCAATGAAGGTAATGTGAGAATGAATATCTCAGTTTGAAAAAGAGGAAATATATTCAATATTTTAAGCTTTGACATAAGTAACCTATAATTTTTAGCAACCTATAAACCTTTTTTCCCCACTTTTTTCTGTGTCAATATCAATATGTGATATCTCCAAATCCTGCTTTTTGCAGAGAAAGCAGCACTCTGATAAGTGACTAAAGAGACTGTTAATATAGATTAAAGGCAAATATTAGTTATTTGTATACTTTTTCAGGCCCTGTATTTTCTAATAAAACTTTACACAGTGCCATGCATTCTTGCTTTGATTAAATTATCAAATTCTTTTTGATTACCACTGAGAATTTCTTTTGACATTTTCCAAAAAAAGAAAATAAGTGG